TAATTTATTAAATTAAATAATCTTAAAAAATAAATATTTAATTATATAAAAATATCTAAATATATATAAATATATACAAATGTATAAATATAAAAATGTAAATATATAAATATATTATATTTATATATTTGTTTGGATATACATTTATTTATATATAAATATAATTTATTGTAAACTATAATCGAAAAATTCCGGTAACTTAGTGGTTGGAGTATCAATCTCTAACTCTAAATTACTGAGACAATTCTTAAATTATAATTCAAACTTCTAAAAATATAAAAAATAAAATAATAATAATATAATATAAAGAAAGGAGAGAGGTGTCATTATAATAAATAAATAATAAAAATATTTTCAAAAAAAAATTAGTTGAAAATTATTCGTAACATTTACCGACTGGACATAAATCCGTCAATAAATTTTACCGATAACATAATTATCGACAGATTTTTCGGTCGACAATTTTTTTTGTAATATAATTGTTCTCGACTTATTTTTATTTTGGGTCTATTTTCATCTACCGTTTAAACATAAATAAATAGAGACAAAGTTTACTTGAAACAAAATAAAAATAAAAACAGATTAATTAAAAAAATAATTGAACTAAAATAAAGAGAAGACCGAAGATGATGCACCCTAATTTGTTTCCTTGCATACAACCAAAGTTTATTGACATTTTTATAGTAACACGTGGTTCTTATTTAATAACCATTTATTATTTAATACCAAATAAAAAAATATCTTCACATATTCAAAATTAAAAATAATGTTTATGCTACAACAAAAATCAATAGGGGGAATAAAATAACCATAATGGGTAGACATTATATAATTAACAAGGTGACTATGTATTAGAATAAAACCAAGTTGACCAAGGAAAAATGTTTTTTTAATCTTTTGTTCACAATTTGTGAGTAAAATGAAAGTAATATTATGGTGTGTGTTATAAAAATTGTTATCTCTTTACCAAACTAGCTTTCAATTTATACTTTATACACGTACATTAATAATAGGTTATTGGCATGAACATTTGAAGTGGCACACACTTTAAAGTAAAAAAGGCACAAGAAATTTCTACGCGGGATTACCAAACTTGTCATGTTATCTCAAAAAGTAGGGTTTTTCTTTACAAAAAGGTTGCTAGGTGGATTTATTTTAAGTAACCAATCAAAAGTTTGATTAGAGTATCTTGTAACCTATTCTCTTTTAAGTTGATGCTAAAGAAAAGTTAACATTCTCTTTCTAATGTGCTCTCTTTATTGAGATTATGTGAAATAGTTAAGATTACTCATAAAATACATCTCGGCCCTATTGGGCCTGTTGTTTAGACGTTCAAAGTGATTGGAAGGGTTGGAGATTACTTTTATGAGCACCCCCCCTATTACTATTTACACCCTTCCTTTTAGTAGAATATTTTTGTTTGAAAATATTGTTGACTTTGGAACAACAAGGGTGATCCACTTGGTGGATATTGGGAGCTGTCTTGCCCCCACACACACTTTTAAACTTTTTAAAAGGTATATATAATATATGTAATTATAAATTATTACTATATTTTTTAAATATGATACACAAAATTAATCTATAAATCCCTGCAAATTCATGGTGAATTAGCGAAACATAAGAGTTTCAAATTATTCGACTAATCTTAAACAAGTAATTTTTTATACACTAAACTCATTCGGGCAACGATTAAACGAGGAAAGTACAAAGTATGAGTAGACTTATTTAAAGAAAAGGGGAAACAATGAAATGCAGAAACACAAACCTTTTTATTGTTGATTTAAAATAGAGAAAAAACAGTTCTTTTGAATTTGGAATCGAGTTTCTTCCTGTTGAGTTGCAAAGTTGAAGCAAAAATGTTACATGTTTCATTAACACATAATATGAGTGAAGAGGAAATTCATTAAACACTCCTACCCCCACACCACCACTTTGTATATATAATTTTTTAAAATTAAATAAAAATTATTTTATAGATACAAATAATTTTATTTTTATTTTTTTCTTTATTTTTTTATTTACAATAAATATCATATTCATTTTCTTATTCAATTTTTCACTTACACTATTTTTCTTTTTCTTCTTTTTATCTTTGTATTTTTATTTTTATTTTCTTTTTCACCATTTTTATTTTCTCACTTTAATTTTTTCTATCATAACTTATTTTATTTTTTTATATTTATTTTTTTACCATTCGTTATTTTTATATTGTTTTTTTCATAATTTTGTCTTATGAAATAAATTTTGTAAGTTTTTTTTCTTTATTTTTAATTTTTTTCTTGTTTTTATAGCTTCATCTTTATAACATAAAAAATAATTTTATTTATTTTGACATTAAATAATTATTTTATCATAATAAATAATTATTTATTTAATTAAAAAATATCAAATATTTATAAATTAAATATATTGTTTATTTAATAATTTAATCTAGTTATATTTAAATTAAATTATGATAATTAGTTAGATTAGGTAATTTTAAAAAAATATTTATTAAAAATTTAATTTTAAATAAATATTATTTTTTCTTAATAATTATAATATATTTCTAATATTTTAAGTTTATCATATAATACTTTTTAAATATAATATATTAAATTATACTATTTATGGATCATTTAAATATTTTTATTTTTTAAACAATAATAAAACACTCATTTTATCACATTTCAATCTATTATTTTTTTAGATGGAATAAGAGAAGAATGAAAGAGAATGAAAAAAAAACACTAACCAAACCCATAGAAAAGAAATAACAAGTAAATAAAAAGAGAGAAAAATAAGAAAATAAATAAAAAAAGATAATAAAATAAATGTTTAAACAATTTTGTAGATGGATAATAAACATGTCTAGTTAAATAAATAAAATTTAAAATTATTTTATTTAAATATGTTTTTAATATATTATTTATAAAATTCATTCATTTTATTTTAATGTTAAAATATGAAAAAAAATCAAATTTTAAAGATATCTAAAAATAAATTATTTTAAAATAAAATAAAATAAATTTGACTTTAAAAATTTGAATTCAATTAATAATATTAAAATAATATCTTTATTTACAATAATTAATTTGTATATCTTCTAAAATTCCTGATTGCATGGTGAGAAATGTGTAAATGAGAAGAGAAATTGTTTTTTTTTTACTTAGTTAACAAAGCAAAGGAATCCATAAATATGACTTGGGATCTAACATTAACGTATTAATTATTGAGTTGTTGAAATGACGTACACATTGCATTTTTTAGAGGAAATACTATATAATATGGAAAAGTAAATCACGAATAATATATACCAACGAAAACTCAAATGCAATAAATAAATATATATATATATATATATATATATATATATATATAAAATAAAGTGAAGAGAGAAAAAATTATGTTAAAATAGATTAAAAAATTACGTAAAAGATAATAAATAAATAATTTTAATTAATATTATTTCTTGAAAAAATCATGTAAACAAAATTGTTAAGCTTTGTTTCTTTGTTAAATTTTTTCTTATTTTTAGTTTATTTTAAATTAAAATTTGACATAATATCATATTAACTTTGGCTATTGTAATAGACATTTGATATTGGATTTAGGTCATATATCGAATTTCTCAATTATTCTAGCAATATAGTGTAGGTTAAGAAGAGTCTCATATTATCTATTAAATTTGTACGATATTATTTATATATTTATTAAGTTTTATATTTATGTATAATTGATTTTAAGTTAAAAAATATATGAGAAAATATATATTATTTACATCAATACCAAATAATATTTATATTGATTTTTTTTTCATACTTTCCAAAAATCAGTTTAAAATTAAAAATATTTTTTGTTGATTAATTTACATATACTCAAAAACTTATCTAAATTTTAAAAATAAGGAACATTGAAAAGTCAGTCTTTTTTTAAAGTTCACGTAGCAATTTTATTTTCTTAGTAAAAGATCACCATAAAATGATAAATTATTAGATTATGTTAGATTTTCACTCGTCATTCATACAAACCAATGGAAATATAACACATATTCATTTTTTTTTTACAGTTTACAAGAGAGTTAATAACATTTGATTATGCATATACATATATTAACCAAGATTCATAATAATCTAACATTACCTAATAATTTTTCTTATAAAAGACAAAACTCTTCCTTTAAATATTCACTATAAATACTTATTCAGGATTTCAACTCAAACTACTGATTAAAATGATAGAACTTGCATAGTTGAACCGAAAGTTCGATAATAGAGATATTTTTTGGTAATATTACATGAAATTTAAAAACGTTTTTTCTACACGTGAACACTTTATTTTTCTTCCATTAAAAAGTTGTAAAACTGAGAGGACAAAAATGCCTTAAAGAGAAACAAACAGCGTTGAAAACAAACAGGTTGAAACCAAGAAGGTTAGGTAAAAAATGAAAGGTTGTGAGGTTATTTGACTAACTATGATAATGAATGAAGAAGGACGAAGGAGAAGAAGAAGAAACAGAGCGAGGGATTGAGAAAAAGGCAAAAGATGAAAGCAGGTGACGTGGAATGAAAAAGGGGTGGGACACACACAGAGCACTATCTTTATAAGTAACTTGGGGGAATCCAAACGCACACAAAGATCTCATAGGCCACAAGAACTTGTGGCTCACAAAATTTCCCCTTTGCTGAAGTGGCATTCCATTTCAACCTTGTTAATAAACCAGTTCACACAGCACAACTCTCTCTCCCCTCTCTCTCTTTCTTTTCTCCACTATTCACTATCCATTTTTCGTTGCACACGATGATCTAGTAATCAGAGAGAGAAAAGAAACAAAACCAACACTGCTAGCTACACCTACAAACATCAACTACTGCTACAACTGTTACTTTTCTTTATATGCGTGTGTTTCTATTTTTTCTCTTTTTTTTTTCAAAGAGCCTGAGCCAAAGTAGCTAAGAGAGACAGAGAGAGAAGGTGGTGAAGCTGAGTTGTTAGTTTAGTTACAATATAACACAGGAATGTCTGAGGGTATTAAAGACCCAGCCATAAAGCTATTTGGTAGAACAATTTCTCTGCCACGCCACGACGAGGTTTCTGCTAATGGTTCTTCTTCTGAACCTGCTCCTCCTCAAGATTGTTCTCACCATCACAGTCCTCCTTCATCTTCATCTTTTCCACGTGAAGTGAGCTCCACAACGGATCATGAACCTGAGAGGGATAAGGTATGAGCCATGATGATGTCTTAAAACATGACAAAAAATATATCATGGAGCTAATTTGTACTGGTGTGTTTTCCAAATTTAAGAGTGACCCTTTTTTCAGAACCTCACAGTTGTTAATGGGTTCGTTCAATTTTTCATCTTTTTGGTTCCTAGTTAAGGGGCCAAGCAATCTCCATGGCTATTTTGATAACCTTTTTGTTTGAAAAGTACACAACGTTTTTTGCATGATCACATGTGGTTCATGAAATTGTTTACTTTTTTTTTTTTTCTTTGTAATTTTGTTTAATGGTTTCTTTACTGGTGGCTACAAGTCATTGTGGGGCACTGTCAGCGAAACTGGATCCAGTTCATTCCCAGAATATAATTTTAAGAATAACGAATAATAATATGTGGTTGGACTCGCTTTGGTTTTGTCCATTCTATTGGTGAATCAATAATTTTGCTTTAGACTTTAGTAATCCAAATTCCAAAGCAACTTTTCTAGCTCAGTTTATTCATAGTTGAAAAACATTTATCTTGAACTGGTTAATTTGCTACTTGGAGTTCATTTCTTATTGGATCTCTTGCAGCATCACGGAAGTTCTGTAGCCATTTGGATGGCTTGAACTTTGAAGATTTGTTATTGAATTCCTTGCTCTACCAAGCTATATTGCTTTTCACGCGTTGGACTTCTATTGGATCTAACTTTATTATAGTTTGACGCTGTCCACATTCAATTGCTTAAGGCTTGTCACACGGAGAAATTCTTAAAAGAATATATTTTGGTTTTCTTTATTGTTGAACTATTTTATACTCTTTAATTTCTTACTTAAACCTTCTCATAAGGGGTTGGAGAATTTTTTTGATAAAAAACAAATTGTTCTTTCATTGTTGGTTGCTATATAACAGTAGTATCCAGGATTAATTTGCTTTCTCCCTTTCCGAATTCTTCTCCAATCACCATATTCTTCAAGAAATATCAGTCTGTATTTCTCTCTTTTCTTAGAAATATAGCTTCGTCTAATTATATCCTTCCTCTAATATTCAACTGTTTGTCTACTCTGCACTTTCACATAACACCTTCTTGCATCAAGCAAAGGTCATATTTGAGAAATTAAAACCTGATGAGCAAGGAAGAATAAATCATATACCTAACCTCTGTTTTCTCCCCTGTTTTATCTACTTCACGCTTCAAATTACTAGGAGAAACCAAATCACTTTGTGAGCCTCTAAAACATCAGATTTGCAAGACTAACATATAACATGATATAATATCAAGAATGATCACCTTTAATGTTTATCTTGCTTATTTATCTATATTTCATGCCAAACAAACCTGTTACTATTGTCAATTTATGAACAAAAATAGCAATCTACTTTGCCCCTTAACGATGTGAAATAAAACAATTTAGTTATTTTCTTACATTTTTGAATTTTTCAATTTCACATTTTCTGTTAAGTAATTCGTACGAAAATTATAATCTTATTATGCATGGTCGTTCATAATCATCTAACTATTGTGTATTAATCTCAGGAACCATCGAGGAAAGAACTCACCTCAACACAAGTTGACGAAGCATTACATGAGGAACCAAAATCTCCAACATCTTCATGCGATCTCGAGAACCCCAAGACCCCATCAACTGAAATAGAAACTTCCTTACAGAAATCGCCTAAAAAAGGAGACCAAAGTGACACAACAAGCGCATCAGAGGACAAAGCTCCAAAGAAGCCAGACAAGATACTTCCATGTCCACGTTGCAACAGCATGGACACCAAGTTCTGCTACTACAACAACTACAACGTGAACCAGCCACGTCACTTCTGCAAGCACTGCCAGAGATACTGGACTGCAGGAGGAACCATGAGGAATGTGCCTGTTGGTGCAGGTCGCCGCAAGAACAAAAACTCTTCCACTGCTGTATCACATTATCGCCAAATCATGGTTCCTGAGACCCTTCAGAACGGATCATTGCACAGTGCCGTATTGACCTTTGGATCAGATCCCCCTCTCTGTGACTCCATGGCTTCTGTGTTGAGCCTTGCTGAGAAAACGCAAAATGGTGTCCTCAACGGGTTTCATTCACCCAAGCATAATATTAACACTCTTAATAATGATACTGGGGATGATAATAACTCAGTTGGTGCTTCTGTTATGGCTTCAACTTTGTGTGAGAGGAGAGACAATGCTACTAGCTATCATGAAGAATCAGCGGATAAGATTTACCATCAAGGTTTCACTCCTCAATTGTGCCTCCCAGGTTCTTCTTCATCTTCTTCTTCTCCTTGGCCTTATCCATGGAACCCTGCAATGACTCCTGCTTTTTACCAACCTGTCTCTTTCTACCCCACACCAGCATTCTGGGGTTGCATGCCATCACCCTCTTGGAGTGTAAATTACCAGTCTGCCCCTAGTTCTGGTCCAAACTCACCAAGCTTGGGGAAACATTCAAGAGATGGGGATATCTTGTTGCAAAAGCCTGGCACAGAAAGCAGCAGCAACATTGCAGAAAACAGCAACACTGTGTTGATCCCCAAGACACTGAGAATTGATGACCCTACAGAAGCTGCAAAGAGCTCTATATGGTCAACACTAGGGATCAAGAATGAGAAGGGGAACTCTCTCAATGGAGGAGGCCTTTTCAAGGCATTTGCATCAAAGGGAGGTAGTGATGACAAGAAGAACCATGTGGTGGTTGAAGCATCCCCAGTGCTGCAAGCCAACCCTGCAGCTTTGTCAAGGTCTCTTGTGTTCCATGAGAGGACATAGTTGGGAGTCGCTTCGTAATCCCAGCTAGCTTCATCCAAAAATGTTTCTGAAGTAGGCCGCACCACTTCAACTACAACAACCTTGTTCTGAGGTGGTAATGACATGTTTTTGCTTTTCTCCATGAGAACTTGTATTATTGACCAACCTTCCTGCAGGATTTGTAGTACAGAAGAGTTATATATATATATATATATATAGTTTACTTTCCATCTTGAGCCTGTCCGACTGAACAGTGTTTTTTCAGATTATAGGACTTGTTGAGTAAATATCTTTGTTGTACATACAAATAAAAAAAAAAAAAAATATATATATATATATATATATATATATATATATATATATATATATATATATATATATATATATATATATATATCAGAGACAGCATAAATAACAAGGAGAAAAGACAAAGCAAAGTAGATTCTTGGACTAAAATCCAATTGTGTTTAGTTTAGGGTCTTCCTTTGAAGCCTGATGTTGCTTCTTCTTTTGTTTTTATTTTGATATTCTCTGCATTAATGTAGTAACTTTCCTTTTAGTTCCAAAGATTGTGACATACACAGACATTTAATTGAGTTTTTTTTACAATGTTATGTCAGCTGTTCATGTTTATCATGCTGATATACAATACTGGGCCTATTTTTGACCTTTGATTTATATTATTTTGTGTGCATTTAATATTTTGTTTTGCCACCTGGGACAAATTTAAAATATCTTATTGTTGGATGAGCCACCAAGCAAGTATTGCTGAATAATGGGTGCACAGTGCAGAAATCCATGCTGTGCCAAAGCGATAAAGCACTGATATGATCTGATATGACCTTCACACGGGTGGAGTCAAAGAGCATTTTCCTTTACTTTTTCTTTTCTGGTGGTGGCTCAGGACTAAAGACACTAGATCACTTAATAAAGTTGATAACTACTCGTGAAAAAATAATTGTTTAACTTTATCAAAATTATTTAAAAATATTACTATTCAAATATCAACTCACATATAAGATTATCGCCTTGAAATATATTATTTCTTTCAGAATTAAATAATTTTGTTACAATTTTATTCTAAAAAAGTCTTCGTGACTAAATTTAAAAAGAAAAATTACAACTAAAGTTTTTATTTTAACTATTAAATTACGTGAGAATTTTTAGCATGTCCGAAAAGTTATTAAAAAGTAAAAGATAAATTCTGGCTTCTAATAAAGTAAAAATCAAGTTTGCGTGTAAGTTATTATTCAATAAATGATTTCTATAGGAAATCCTCACTTCTAATCGTAATAAACTAGTTTTAAAAAAATTAATATATTATATATAATATTTGATTTATATATATATATAATGACATATATGAAAACAATTTCAAACTATAAGTACCCACCACAGACAGAAACATTTATCTCTAAGCTGCTTGTGGTTGGAAGTGGATAATTTATTAAAGTAATCAATAACGATTGGTTATTAAATGTTACTAGTTTCTTAGATAAAATTTTGAGTTTGAATCTTGTAAACGAAAAAGAAATAGTTGAAAAAAAAGACAATAACATAACTCTTTACTAACATTATATCTTAGTTATATGATGATATAACTTAAACGATAATATTAACTTATATTTAAGGATTAAAAAAAGTGATTAAATTTTGGATTTAAATGAAATAAATTATGAGTTCGGAAAATAATTTCGTTAAACCCAAGGATTAAAGCGACAATGAATTAATATTTCAGAAACAAGATATCCAAAATATTATTTGATGCTTGGATTCTAAAAAGTTTTATAAAACAAAAAGTGATTGATAAAAAATATTCGCATGTTGGTTATCTTTTTCAATTTCTTTATTCTTTCTTTCTCCGTCACTATTTGCCTTTATCCTCAGCTCTTGAGACAACTCCCAAACCCTCTATGAAACCCACTACCACACCATTTGCCACCAATGTGTTTAACATTGTGGGGTTTTCTCTCACAATAATTAGAACCACCAAAATTTAAAAATGTTTTTTTTTAAATAATTATAATTAAAATAACATTATTATCATAAGTGACCATTTTTTATTGGATAAAGATTTATAAATTATCAAATAGTTCTTTCTACCGAGAAGAGTCACATGTTGTTTCTCTCAAATTTTCAAATACGATTTATATATATTTATTGGCTCTACTAAAGTTGAAAATAGTGACCGTGTTCAATCTTGCATCCACATTTTTTTATCTGTTTTTATAAACTACACTTTTTTTTTTTTTTTGGAGTTCCTTCTTTATTTTTTATAGTATGTTTTATGTTAACTTATTATATCTTCAACCCATGGTCCAAGTAATGCCGTGTGTTCATTTAACCCATAAAAAATATGGTTGAGATTTTAAGCTAACTATTTACCTAAATGGTACGAGAAAAACTTTAATGATTTTAGTAAGAGTGTTTATGTGTATAAATTACACTTCATAGATATTCAATCAAAATATAATTAAAATTTAAAATATATTCATAAGTTTATTTTGAATAATAATATAATATAATTTATGTTTAAATAAAAAATATATTAATTTTTTAATATATTTTAAATTAAAATAAATGTTTTCAAAATTATAAATATTTTTTAATTAATTAAATAGTATAATTTTATAATAAGTATCGTAGAATTTAATATTTTCATAAATAGTTAACTTTTAACTATTTTATATTTAATAAATTACTTGATCGATGGTCACGTGATCCATTTTTTTATATCAATTAATAAATTATTATTCATAATTTTTTAAATGTCTATCTTAATTTAAAATAGCTTAAAATATAAAATACATATTTTATTTAAATAAAAAATAAATTATATTATTATCCAAAACAAATCTTTAAATATATTTAAAATTATTTTGAAGTTTAATATTTTTTAAATTTGTAATAATTTTTATTTCAATAGCTTATGATAAATTATTTAAAAAAAAATAAAAATAAAGTATAGGTGAGAAAAAATTATAATAATAAAAAATATAAGGAAAAATATATTAAATAAAATATAACAAATCTTCAAATTTTAAATAAATTTATATAAATATACATTTTAGGAGAATATATTGATAATTATTCTTTTGGCAATCTCACGTTGGGTCATGGTCAACACTCTCAACCTAATCTTTAATCCACCATTAATGCGGGTGGAGCCCCCTGAAACCAATGAGGGCAAACCCATCCACCCACTAAGAAAATAAATTTATTTTTTATTGCCATTTTCCTATATAAAAAGAAATGCGATTTCATTTTTATAATCTAAAATCTCTATCTAATACAAGTTTTCATTAAAGTTCAACATATATTAAAGCCATGAAAGCTCAATTTTAAGTGCATGCTTCATTTCATGCTGAATTCTTTATAATCATGTTGAAATATTAATTAACTAAATTTTAGTTAAATCTCACATGTTTAATGATATGTTAAGAGTGTAATCAAGGTTCATAATTTATTATTGGTCGAAACACTTTTGTGTATTTTTTTAATTAAATAAAAATTATATGTTAAATTTGACTATCAACTTGTTTTTACACTAGAACCATTATAGAAATCAAGTTTACTTAAAACCAACAATAAAAAACATGTGTTAAACCTTCCTATCATTTCTCATTCGTTATATTAATTTGTAAGGTTTATTCTATATTTAAAAAATTACAGAATATATATATATATATATATATATATATATATGAAATAATTTGAACATAATTTATTTCCTTTATATTTAAATTTGTTGTTCTAAAAATGCAAAACTAAAAAAGAAACTTAGTAGGTTTTGACTTGTGTGGATAAAGTGGAATAATTTGTGAGAAAAGTAGAAAGATATATAGCATCCAAGACAGAATAAACAACATAAAGCGATCTAACTTTATGGCATCCACTTTACTTTTTGCTTCTTCTTTTTCATATTTTGTGTGTAAGCCAAGTCAGGTGTGGCCAATCACAGATGGTGAAAATTATTTTTTATTTGTTGATCATAGGCAGTGTCACGTTCAAATAACCTAATCTTTCACCCAAACATGAGTCGGAGAATTTAGAAACACTTGGATATTTCATAGTTGGCACCAAGTTTAGGTGGCCACAAGTTTCAAGCATGTACACATATGGTTGTTGTCATGTTAAGGGACAATTGATTATAACCATTACTCATTCTAGGTCGTGCTCCTAGGTTTTCATTCCTTCTCCGTGTTTCTATCAGCATGTCATGGTTTTTGGTTCATCAAGTGCCAGAACACACAGGGGACAAGAACATGCCAATTCGGATCTATTTCTATACTGTAAAATAAATAAAATGTCATAATTATTTTATTATAATCGATAAATATTGTTTTTATTTCTACCCAATAATCTTAAGTTATTTCAATACAGTTGTTTACTAAGGTTGTTTCACATTTTAATATTCTTTCACATTAAAGATGTGAGATCCAGTAAAATCTAATAACGAGGGGTTGAAATATAAATTCTTAATACAGTTAGAGTTTATGATATTATGTTAGATATATAGAAATATATTTAATTTAATTTTAAAAAATTGAATTATCCTTTTTATATAATATAATTTAGTATCGGTGGGTTTAATTGTTATGAGAATCCATTTAAAAACTTGTGTTGGAATAATTAGATTTTAATTAAATCGGAACAAAATAAAAAAAAATTAAGTTAAAAACTAAAACAAATTAATTGAATTGTTAGTTACTGTCAAGATCAATTTTATTAATATATTTTTTTAAATATAATATATTTTAATTTTTTTTCTCATTTGTTTTTTATCTTATTTTAATAATTATTTATTTTACACTTTTTAATATATTTTATATTTATGATTTTAATTATAATTTATAGTGATTATAATAATATATTTTTTAATTTTTATTTTTTTAAAATATTATTACTAATAATTTATAATATATTTATTATATTATAAAAATATTATTTTATTAAATGAGGTGGACTCAATTGAATCTTTAAACTCTAAATTGTACTCATCGATCAGATTTTAGAAGTATTATTTAAACCAATTATCTGAAGAAGAACATCGATTGTATCTACATTCCCCAAATTCATTCTTCTTTTTTTCAAATTCTTCCCATACAAACTAGATGAGGGGGTTTGGGTATTCAAATGCAAAACAAATGCAAGAATAAAATTTTAATAATGCAAAAATTAAAATCACAATTCAAATATAAGCGCGATTGAAATATAAATGCAAGAAAAAAATATTAAATTAAAATGTGAAAATATAGAATTGTAAATATGAGAAATTAAATTGCTTGAAAAAACAAAATTAAAACATTGATCTACAAAATTTAAATGTATATGAATTAGAATAATTAGCTTAATCTAATTTGTAATTGTTTATCAAGTTAAAATTCAATTGAAACCTAATTTGCATTTTAAAATACAAAAAAACAAATCATAATCCACATGAGATTTTAAGAATTAGAGAAAGATAAACTAATTTAAAACGCGTGAATCAATTTGGACAAAACTCAATTTCACAATTCATTCATGTGATTTTTTATTTGTAAAGTGAAAGAAAGGATCTCACCTTCCATAAAAGCACTCTCTATTTGTATAAATATAAAAAGGAGAAAAAAAAGAGAGATAAAAATAAAAGCTAAAATAAAAATACAATTTTGATGTAATTTCTTTTTCTTCAAATTCTGAAATATTTACGAAAAGAAATTCTATAATAAAAAATTCAATATTTTTGCATTCACTTATAAAATTTATTAAAAATAGTTTTTAATTCTAAATTTCACATTTTATATGTACGAATTGAAACTAACTAGAAAAATATTTACTTAAAAAAATTACAATTAAAATAATGGACAGATGTTAAATTAAAAATATATAAAATTATAATATTTATTCAAATCAAATCAAGTTATTATTTATTATTAGTAAACAATAAAAATAAAAAAATACTTAAAAGATATAATAAACATCTTAATATGAATATAAAATATATATTATCAGTAATTGAACAAAAATTTCAATATTTATACTTTCACTTAAACCTAAATAAATTCCATTTGAGGTGTGAATCTTTTCCTATTAAAAAACTCTTTCTCAAATAAAAATATTTTTCTATGGTGAGTACCTTAATAATGATAATTGTGTTATCATTTATTACAAGAGGATGCACTAGTATAAAAAGAAATTTGATCCAATGAACCAGATTACAATAATAAATTAATAAAAATTATTATAATTTAAATTAAATTAGATTTATTTTATTTAATTATTAATCAATTACTTAAATAGACATAGATTACAATATTCATATTATTTTGTTTTATAAAGTAATAATTATTTTCAAAATAAGAAATTATTTTATTAATATATAAAAATTATATATATAATTATTATACCTAAAATCAAAATTAATTTATTAAAATAGATTAAAGTTTTCAATTATAAAGATTAAAATTATAAATAAAAAATCCGATACCAACCTAATTCGATTTTATAAAATAAAATTTATATAATAATATGATCGTATCTTTAATAAATCGTATCAATATATATATAAATTGTACTTTCCTTTACCCATGCATTGCAGGAGTGCCATTCAGTAGGTATTGCATTTGGCAAATGCCGAGAAATTATACCTACGTTCTTCTGCTTTACAAAACAAACAATTCTAAATTATAATCCTTAGACAATGCTAATCCCTGTTGTTCTCAGCAAATAAGTTTCGTACAAATAAATATATTATTTTAGCACCCTCTTCTTAAAACATTTTTATCATTTTAAAATATTTATTAAAATATAAAAGACTAAAATATATAAATCACACTTACATTAATAAATAATATATTATTAATAAATAATATATTATTAATAAATAATAATATATATAATTATAAAAGGCAAGATATTACTAATCTCCTAAAACAGTCTGTCCATATGATTTAACAGGATGAAAATTATATTTAACGATATATTATTATATGTGAATTTTTTTTTATTACACTTCATTATATGGAATATGATGATCTAATAATAATTTATGATTTAAATTAATATTCTAATATCGATAAAATTAACACAAATATTATATTAAAAATAATAAAATATCTAATTTAATTATAGTCTCATTTTGCATAATATTATTTGTGAATTTTGTTTAATCTTATTTAACTAAAACCAAAATTCACCGAAAGGAATTCTTATCATCACGCGTAGTAAATCAGGCGCAGTAAGAAGTGATAAAGAAAACAATTGCAATAGGAAAACATCACGCGTTGTATTAACAGCAAATTACGTTTTTTTTTTTTTTTTTGAACACACTATGAACGTACACAACAAATATAAATATTACACAGCAAATGAGTTTCATGACATTAACAATGTGGAAAACATACTTTAATCTAACTTACTTGGATGATATCGACTAAACCAAAAAGGCAAGAATACTGGCCAAGTGACCAAGTTATTTCTTGGCATACGACCAAAAGGTGATTCCCATTTCACTGGAAGAACTTGCGGGAGAAATTCCCCTGTGAGCGCGTTTTTCTCTGAAAACAATCAAATTATGCGTGTTTCCACTTACTTTAACACGTTGTCATGAACCATTAAGAAATTTCAACTATTTGTCTTCCCTTCCCACAAGTCACTATTACATATCCGTTTTTGTAAATTTCATAGAAATTCAAGGTAATGGAAGGAAACATTATTCTTAGTACAGTAACCATAAAATGTTCTTTTTTTCATCAAACACTATATTTGTTCCGGGAAATCTTGCAGCAATGTAGTCCCTACACACTTTTCCCCTTTATCACGTTGAAGGGTTGACGCTTCCACCTGAAGCTCAGAGAAAGCCTTTGCATTTTTTTGTTATAAATTGGAAATTGGATCCTGGAACAATGCGTCCACAATACTCGTTCAGTGTACTATTTCCCTAGTCTACATATCAACATGGAGAACAAACATGGTAATACAGCCTTATTTTTGGTCTCTTTATGTCTTGGAGATCTACCGTGGAATGTTAGAACAAAGGTTTTCTTGACATTCTTGCTTTACTTCAAGTTCGTGTTTAGTTATGTCTCTCAGAAATGGATCAAAACTAGAGTTGACTCAAATTGTGAAGCTGTGAAGCAGGGCTTGGACTACATTGAGAGAGGTGAAAGAGTGAGCAAAGAAGACGTGGTTTTGGTGATGGAAAAGCTAGGAATGAATGTTCAATGTGAATGTGAGGGGATTGAGGAATGTGGTGTACAAGAAATTGGGGAATTGTTTGATGAAGATGTTACCTTGTCAGAGGTAGAACAAGCCTTTGATGTGTTTGACCAAAACAAAGATGGGTTCATAGAGGCAAGAGAGTTGCAAAGGGTGTTGTCCTCTTTGGGGTTAGGGAAAGATTTGATGGAATGTCAGAAAATGATTAATGCAGTTGATGAAAATGGTGATGAACTGATTGATAGGACTGAGTTTGTGAGAATCATTGAACAGAGTTTTGGGTGAAAGTTTTTCACTTTCTATGAATCTTTGGTGGGTTGCATGTTTCACACATGTTAGTATTTTGTTGGGTTAATTATGTACCTTAATTTTTGTAATTCACAGTAAATAATAATCCCATGTACTTTCTATGATTTTAATTATCAATCTGGTTTCATTAATCGTTTTTACTTATTTGTCATTAGGAGAAAAACATTGTATTATTCTTTAAAATCTTAATCAATTGAAAGATAAATTTTACGATATTTACTTTTTAAAAAATATACAACTTTCAGCTCACTTTAGATGTAAGAAATTATTTTAATAAATATTTTACTGAAACTTCTTTCTTGGATTTACATGTATAAATTCATTTGTTTGGAGGAAGTACAATGGTGGTGCCATTGATCCAAAATTTTTATTATTGGGCTTGTATTTAGCCCAATATATATAGGAAAAAAAAGAGTATGTTCCTAAGATTTGATTGTTTTAGATGATAGAGCAGATGCATGTGTGTGTGTGGTAGTGATGAAATTAATAGGCTGAGGGGTCATTTTCAGAGGCAATGAAGGTCAACCTCTTGCAACTGCCAAAGTGTTGGAAGTGCATGCAGAAAAGGGCTTCCAACCACTCTCAGGACATTGCAAAGCATTCTCCAATTCTTTTTGTGACTTTGAGATTTGTTTCATCTTAGTAGAAACACTATTAAGGTTGTTGTTGTTCTTTGTTTAGTCCATTTTTTCTCATTTTTGCCATAAATGTCCCACCCTTTGAAAAATAAAAAATTCTTCTTCTACTTCTTCGTGTTCAAACTCTTAACCACTAAAACAACTATGTGGGGACAGAGTAATAACATTTACAAAAACATTTACTCATTATTTTTTTAATGCAAAATGATAAAATCAGTACGTCTATTTAGTTTTATTTTATCCCGTTCCTCTTATAACCAGTAAAAAAAAAAAAATCTACATTACATATCCATATTTATCTCGTCAAAAAGTAGGAAGACGACTATAGAACTAATTTATTAATATTTTTATATTATTTTAAAATAATATACTTTTAATTATAAAAATAATTTCATAAGTTTTTATTTATTAATTAATATTAATTAAAAAATTATTATATTTATATTTAAAATATTTAATTATAATTAATAATTTAAATTTAATTATTTAATATTTATAATTTAAATTTTTATATTATAATATATTTACATTAAAAAAATATTATATTTTTAATTATAATCCTTTTCATTTTTATCTCAATTAAATATTTTTTAAAATGAATCACTGAGTCAAACAAAACAAGTAAAAATAAGTGATAGTTAAAACAATCATCTTTATTTTAATGAGTTAGTGAACTGATCTAATTTATTTTTTCATCTTACTATTTTTATTAGTTAAATTCAATTTGTTTAAATTAAAAAAAAAAAGATTATGATTTAGTCCCTAAACATATTAAAATTACCTTATAATAAAACTATAATATTTAAAGATTAATTGAATATTAAAATATATTTTAAGTTTAATCTTAAAATATATTTTAAGAACCAACTTAATATTAACTTATGAAATTATACAACACATTTAGTAAATTAAATCAATTATCTCATTATTTTAAAAAAAAATCCATTTACACATTTAACAAATAAAATGGTTATTTGTCCTAAAAACTTTATTGTTAGAACTTTGATTTTTAATGTTTAACAATATTTATAATTTTTTTTATTAAGAGGCTTAATTTTTTTTAGTTTTACATTCAATTTCAAACTTAAAGTTTTTATTACTTCCATCATAAACATTAACTTTCTTCCTGTTATCATTGATTCTAGACTGAAAAACATGTTTTACTGTTTTGAGTTTGATTAAAAAATATTACGTATATAAAACAAATAAAATAATAAAAAATAAAACTAATTGTTTGTTGAAGATAAATGATAAAGACTTAAAGTTGTTATATGATAAGGGCTAAAAGACTTGGTGACAAATTAACTTTGAAAATAACAAATGAAATCAGACTCAAACCTTTGTTTGCCAAATCAAAAAGCCAAATTGACCCAATTCATACAATTAAACTATGAAAAAAAATTATATTATACCACTTATTTGGACTTATAACTTAGTTCACACTAATACTAGGTTCAAGGCATGCTTATTATGCTTATTTCCTTAATAAATTTGGTTAGAGGGTTTTTAAAAAAATAAATTATGAGAGTTCAAAAAGACGAAAAATTAAATTAAAATATATTATACTGAATAGTTCATTATTTTAACAAATAAAAATATTATTTTATCAACATATTTGTAGTTAGATGAGTCGTTTGATTCAATCGATTGAATGGGGAATTGACTTGGTGTTTAATTCAAAATTTTTAAAATATAAAATTTATTTTGATTTGGGATAAAATTAGGTTGAGCTAGTTATAGGAAAAATGGACCTGTTGAAAAATTTAATATTTGACTTTACAAACATGCTTCTTTTGTTGTTGGTGTATTTAAGAAAATTATAAAATGTTAATAATTTTTCTATGTTAAACTTATAGACTATGTATTGGGTTTGTTTGTTTTTATATGTAATTTAATTTTACTATATGTTTCAAGTAAAATTAAATTTAAATTATATATACATATATAATTTTTTATTAATATTAATTTGTATGTTATATTATTATATTTAAAAATAAAATTAATAACATTTTATTAAAACAGGTTTTCGATTGAACCTTATCAATCTAGTGAAAACTGCTAGCAGATTTATTACGTTTTAAATATTTAGTTATTTTTAATTTAAATTGTTAAAATTTGATGTATAATTAAATAAGTGAAGATTAGTTTAAGATTTTTTTATATATATAATTGTATCTAGTTCAAAAATATAACTTAAATTAAAACTATATGTCGTATTTTTATTTTATATTTTTTAGATTTTTAAATCATTGTTTAAATATAAGAAAATTATATTTTTTTAAAATTTATAATCAGATTAAAAATAATCCATTAACTTGATCTAAGCCAACAATTATTATCTATTTTAAAATATAAACGAAACTGAAACAAGTTTTTTCATTTCACAATTCTATTCAAAATTAGCCAAAATCATACATCACTTTGAAATTACTCTTATTTTATCTTTATTTATCCTTTCCTATTTATATAACACAATTTGAATTATTCATTATAAATGAAAAATATAAAGTATATATTAAAAATTTATTTATATTACACATTTTAACTATTAAATAAAAGTTATATATTTTACAGTACCACTCCACCAACATGTTATATAATATAAACCATGCAAAAGTACTTTTATGGGGAGGATGATAGGCAAGTTATGACCGTGACTTGGCTAACAAAAAATCACCAATGCGAGTGGCATGAATTAGCACAGATTCAGCTGAAGAGAAGGATATTGAACAGTTCCCCACAATGAGTTAATGCACATATGAATTCAGTTGCAGAATTTGTGCCTCACTAATTGCCTTCCAGACCCATGAGAAAGCGATGTTCTTTCATCACCATCTCCAAAATGGTTCACCCACCCTCTCTATGCAGACACAACCAAAACTAATACCAAAAAAGCACATACCCACAAAAACAGCCTTAGATTATAAAACATGACCATGCCAAATCCTGTCATTTCCAAACATGATTCGCTCTAACATTTTTCATTAGCTAACGGATTAGCCATACATAACAAGAAGCAAAGAATGTCTAGGACATTATTAATATCTCACATCACCCTTTTCATCTTCATTTGGTTTTAACTAAAAAAATGGTTAGCCATATAAGGGAAAAAGACATGGAACTGAGCATAGGAAGATAATAGTAATGGAATTAAATTATCATATCATTATTTTGAAATAGTTTGCAGAAGGGTCCCCCGTAGGTGTGAGAAAGAAAGGAAATCACAATAGAGAGGGTGATATCACCATCACCACAGAGGTAGTGACGCAAGGTTACACAGTGCACCAAACTCAAGCAACTATTCCTTTCTATTTGCCTCGAATGGCTTCTCAGTTATGTTGGACCACACCTATAATGAGGAACTTCCGGGGATGTTTGCAGCTTTTGGATCATCTGATCATGTGGCTCCTACTCCAAGGAAGTCAAAAAATGGGGGTGGAACACCATCTGGGGGGTCACTATTCACCACTTTATCTCTGATTCCTGCAACACATGGTGATGATGATGGTTCCTTGCCTGTGGTTGTTGATGCTGATGAGGAATTCAAGAAACTGTAAAAATTGTTGCGTGTGTTGTTGTCAAGCTGTTGCATTGCCATCAAATATTGTTGGGGATAATGAGGGTATAGACCAGATGGCTGCCAATGATGGTGAAGAGATTCATTGGTCCTTTCCCAGCATCTGATCTGGCTATTAGACTCTCCCATCATGTCATTGCTTCCACCACCTTGCAAACCCAACCCAATGGAAAATGTCAGTTAATAGCACTGAAGCTAGTTACAGCAACATGCTCGTATTCTAGACGTTGTCTGTTAAAGAATTCCATTCCAGGCCAAGCACAGTTTACTTGCATCAGTCACTTTAACAAACCAAAAGATGAAATTATGAAACCAATAGATTAATTAAACTTGATTGGAACGATAGAAAAAAAATAAATAGCAAACTACAACCTGGTACTAAGGAAGATGATGTGAGAAACCTACATAGAAGCAGGTTGGACGAACAAAAGGATTTTTAATTATAGAGACCAATGAAGGAGAGAGAGGATTCACCTAAGTAGAAATTAAATGGTGCTTGTTGAGCTTCAACACACAATCCAACTTGTGGGGCGATTGACATTGTTTCTCTCCCACCAGTCATGTTTCGTGGAGAACCGTTTAAGCCAAACTCAACAACCTCACCAGCACCTACTCCATGGAAGGATGGGAAACTAGACTCGTTATTGGTGACTCCTACTCCATTGTTGAGGAGATTGAGACAATGCGAAGGTGATGGTTCTTGTTCCGTGGTTGAGGTATCCCTTCTGCAAATAAAGGTTGGATTTTGCTCCACCCTTCTGTAAACGGATTGGCTCATTCTCCTCCTCCTGTAAGCACTGGATTGCTCCCTGTACTTCCTGGCCATTATAACATGCCAGTGATTCTTCACTGCATTATCTGTTCTCCCAGGGAAAAGCCTTGCAATCATGGCCCATTTGTTGCCATAAATTCTATGTGCCTGCATTAGCCTCTCTTCCTCCTCTTCACTGAAAGCTCTTCTGTTGATCCTTGGATCTAACTGGTTGAACCACCGCAGCCTACAACTCTTCCCTAATTTATATACAAAACAAATCACATCAAAGGAAGTTAAGGGAATTTATTTTAAAAAACAAACAAGAGAGGCTAACAATATATATTTCTCTCTTTCATACAATTTCATAACTTCGCCCACACCATGAGAGAAAGTAATATATAAGATGTGTTAATTAGTAATCATTCTGCACTTTCGAATTGATTTCTTCCACACCTGATCTTCCTTCCAGCTTTTCAGCTATGAGGTTCCAATTCTGAGGGCCGTAAAGAGCCACAAGCTCCTTCAGCTTGGAATCTTCTGCGGGCCTCCAATGCCCTCTTGCACACAGTTTGGAGTGTCCACTATCTACCTCTTTGCCACTAAGAGGGTTCTCATTAGGGTTACTTTCTTCACTAAACTTGCCATTAGTGTTTGTTTTCTCATTACTGTTACTCTCCCCAGCCCCAAGATCACTACTGTCTTCAAAGTTTGAGGAAAGGAATTCCCTCATGAAAGGAAAACTCCAGCTTGTGCTCCTCCCATTTTCCACGCCAGAAGCACCACCATGACCATGACCATGACTATGACCATAACTCTCTTGAGATGAAGAACCATTGGAAAAAGTGGCAAGAGAAAGAGACCCCATCATGTCTCCATAGACCATTCCCATTGAAGGAGGAGAAGGAAAAGGGTAACATGTGGGGGCATTCTGGTTTTGTTGTGAAGAGATCATGCAACACTTACTGCTGGCCATGACTTCATTTCATAATTTCGTGACGCAAATGCTTGCTGTTCTTGCTGTTGGGTTTGCAACTGTTACCAAGCCATGGTGCTCATGCGACCAACAATGTTTTCGTGCTATTCTGGTAACAGTGTAACATGAGGAAGTAAGTGTCTGGCACACGAAGAAGTTGAAGAGGAAAAGATTTTGCAGCGGGGCAAAGAAACTTGTACACCACCACAAGTGAAAAGTGTGAAGTGTGTTTTTTCACCAAATGTGAAAATTTCACGCACTTCTAAGATGTATAAAACTTGAAAACAGAATTTGTTTTTTATAGTTTTTTTTTTTTACTTTCAGTACAATTTTGGGAGGTGGGCCCGGAGAAAGTGAACTTCGAAAGAGAAATTGCTATTATAATTATTTTATACAATCAATACAAGAGAGAAGAACAAAAAGAAGAAGGGAAAAGTTCGAACACCGCAAGTGAATCTTCATTTAGTTTGCATAAATAATATACAAATTATAATTCACTACGAACGACATGCATAATCACAGAAACGAGATTCGACATTATTTAAGGTGGTAAGTAACATAATGTATGATGAAACAATTTAAAATACATATAGCTAATTTTATGCAACCATACAAAAGAAGCTGTTGGTATTCCTTTTTATTAAGGAGTGAGGTTGAAATGGTGGCTTTTATCCTCTGACAAATGTTGAAAAAACATTACAAGTATTTATTATTATATTATTTAATTGTTAGGTGTTACTCCTTCTCCTAAGTCAGAATCGATGAGATGCTGTCATGATACTATTACCATAATCATTATCTGGAATCAACTTACTCACTCACACGTGTGACTCTCTTTCTCTCTCCATTCATGGAGTTGCAGAGTCTAAGGCTGTCTCTAAATTGAGAAAAGAAAGAGGGATGTGCAGCAGCAGAGACACCTTTCTTTTCAAACCACAAATCAAATAAAATGAAAAAATTATATTTTGTGAATTGCCATTCATACACAACAACAGGACCTGACATCTTTCATGTACACCCTACAACATAGCTACCCTATTCATGCATTCAGCTAGGCGGAGTGGTAGTATAACATAGTTCTAGTCTTTCCACTCTCTCTCTCTCTCTCTCTCTCTCTCTCTCTCTCTCTCTCCCCATCACATCACCATTTACCACTTTAATATAACTGCATATATACATATTATAGGACTTCCATTCATGCACCACTCAGTAAACCTTGTCATTCATCATTTTTAACCCTTTCTCGTTCTAACTTCTATTTTTCCCCGTATCAATGAAAATAAAATAAAAGATTATGGGTGTCTGTACTTTTTTCTTTTTTTTTTTTGATGCTGCTGAAGTATCTGAAGAAATGAGCAAATGATACATTTTTTTATGAATATACTGTAATTTAAAAAACGAAAATAAATAAATAGTATTTAAAATATTATTTCATTTTTTTATTTGCTTTTTTATTTTTATTTTAAAAAATATAAATGTATGAAGAAATACGACTTATTGAAGTGGTATCTTTTTACACGACTTCAATTTCATTAACAATTACAGTAACGAATTCTTTATAAGAATTATAATAATATTGATATTAGTTACAATAAAATATTCATCATAATAAAATAATTAATTGTAAATGTATTAATAATATAATTAATTCATAACATTATTTTAGTTGATAATAATATTAACAATTATTATTTTAGTATTAATGTAAAAAAATTCAATTTCAAATTAAAGTCTCACTTAGGATGGATATTTGTAAGACATGTCATTTTTCTAAAAGTTTTTTTTTCTAATTTTTCTTTTAGGTCTTTATACTCTTTCTAAATCTCTTAATTTATTTTTTATTTTTTTTAAATTTTGAAATCACTTTAGTATAATTGGTAGAGAATATAATATTTTCAATAAATAAAATCGTAATTAGAGTTTGGACGTCTTATAATCTTCAAAGCAAAATTAGAAAGATAACTTGCTAGAATATATATATATATATAGCAAGTAGATATTTATTCACACTGTTATATATCTATATTATATTTCAATTTAATTTTTAGAAAAGATTGATAGGATTTATGGTTTTATTAGAATAACAAAAAATAAACTGAAGTAGATGATTTTATTTTCCTTTTAATAAAAGAAATTAAATAGTAACCGCTTTTGCAAATATAATTTCTGTAAAATGAAATCGTCTTCTAAAAAATGTTTTAATGACTTTTTTTAATTCTTTTGAATTTGATCTAATAATTAAAAAAAAGTTCTGAAAAATACGAAAATTCCTACCATACGAAAGTTCTTCAAATAAACTTTGTTAAAAATTAAAATTTCATGTTTATGTAATAGTTCTACTCTGACATTCTTCCATTTAATTTTATATGTAATTCATAAATAATAATAATAATAATAATAATAATAATAATAATAATAATAATAATAATAGAGAATTTATAAAAATGTTTTTTACACTCTTCTTTATTTCATTTTTCGTGATTATTTTACATTTAAACATGTAATTATTATATTATTCTACGAAACGACAGATTTAGTCAAATTATCCAATAAAAATATTATTTATTGATAAATATCCATTTCTTGTCTCTAATTGATAAAAACTAACTAAGTATCTAATTATTATTATTATTATTATTATTATTATTATTATTATTTATTTTTAAAATTTTGAAAGTTTTATTTATTTTCTTTTTATCATATCCAAAATTTAGAAAACTGTTAATTATTTATTTTTTATAATATTTTTATTGTAAAGTATTGAAAATTAATTTGTATAAAAATTAAATATCTATATGAATTAACATAAACGTGTTGATTTTTTATTTTTTATTTTTAAAATGTTATATTAAATTAGTTATAAGTTATCAAAAAGATAAAATATAAATAAAAAATTATAAAAATATAGATGTTTATAAAAAGTTTCCACTAAAAATTTATAAAAAAAGTAGAAATTAATTAATATGACATAAAAAAATTATTTAAAATAAAATAAAATAAATTTTTCAACATATTATTTATAAAAGTAGACACTGAAAATAATGTTTTACTCCTACTTTGGGAAGTAGAAATTGAAAATGAAAAAAAAAAGTATATATTGTTGGGATAAATAGAAAGTAATTAGGGGAAATGAGTGTAGAGTGAAAGAGACTTTAATCTGGGATTCAGTTAAACACTTCAACCACCTGAAGTGGACTGAACAACCAAAAACTTTTAGGTTTGCAAAAGCATTGATTAATGAATAGTTGTAAACCATATACCCACACCTCTGCCCCAACCATTCACATAACACTTCACCACAACATCATTCTCATTACCAACCCTATACTTTCTCCACCTTTAACTCTCTTCCATTGCATAATCAAATCATATCTTAAAATTACAAACAATTCTTCGTACTTATTATTTATCTCAAGAACCCTACTATAAGAAGGGGCAGAAGAAAACAAGATGGAGGGAAGCAGATGAACATGTTTCTGTGTTTTCAGTGTTCTTGTTTTCTCCTTTGATTGACAACTCAGTTAACCATAGAAGAGAAAAACACTATTTTAGTTTATAAATCTCATTCTGACCTATAAAACCCAGTCGCAGACGTTTTATTTATTTCTGTCATACTGAAACAGGACCCAAGGTACGGAACATATGTTTATCCGTTAAGATACAATTTTTTAACCAATCTTACGCGTGTGTGTTGATAAAATTAAATTATAATGTTTTATTATTTAGTTAAAAGAAAAACAAAATCAGTTGTAGTAATTAAAAAAAAGTTTCATATATTTTTTTATATTTTTATCTGTCTCTTTGTAAGTTTTTAACAGAGAAAAAATATGTAAATCAGCATTTAAATTAACACAGCAGTAGGTGACACAGTCCTTTGAAATTCCAGAGTTTGAAGGAATAGGGTTGTGTTTGTGTGATGAATGCTAGAAAAGGGATGAGAAAAGTTGATCGAGACGCATAGGGTGGCTAGTTCTGCCTCATGCCATTATTAGAAAGGTGCAAATATGCATTCATTTGAACAACGTTTCTGAATTCCCAGATTTATTTGTTTTATCTTTCGTCGTGAAATCATCAATGGTGTGTGTGCGCAGTGCAATGCACACACTCATTTCTTACATCGGGAACCTGCGAAGAGAGAACAACATTAATCCTATGGTCGGTCACTGGTAGGATTGTACTCCCTGTTGTTGTGTTCTTCCCTCTCTCTCTCTCTCTCTCTCTCTCTCTCTCTCAATCAAGTTCATCTTCTGACGTAAAACCATAAATGATGATTAAGACGTAGCCTCCCATCTACTTCTCATCATTCATCAGTCGTAACGAATTCATTTATTCAATTTATTTCCTTTTTCCTCCCCATCATCCACATTTTTAGTTAAATCAAATTACTTTCCTTTAATTACTCCTTTTCACTTCTATATTTATATCAATTTTATCATTCTTCTAATTATACTATTTTCCAAACCAATCAATAATTTATTTGTGAAAGAAAATTCCAATAAGTATTTCAAAGAAAACATGAACAGATAAACATGCATGTTGCTGTCAAAAGAGGGGTTTTGAGTACTGCATTGTTGCAAGTGAAGAGGTGGATTAGTTACAAACAATAAATGTTGTTGGGCCATTTGGGGAGACAAGTAGTTAAACCTTTTCAAATCCCTAAAGGACCCTCAAATCATATTATATCTTATATACAAGACAAAGTGAATAACTTGGTTGTGTTTTCTATTTGTCAAAGAAACCCAATGGAAAGAGATTGAACAATTATGGGTACATGCATGTTAATATGCCAGCTCAAATTATGCATCAAGTAGAAGCAGAAAGAATGTGTTTTTCCTCCTCTTTTTACCTTCCCTTCATAACAAAAAATAAAGCAATCTCTTTAGCTACCTATAAGCTACCTGTTTCTGATTTTCTTTATCCTTTTCTCTTTCCACTCCCACAGTTCCCATGTGTACTCTTTCTTTCTTCATGCACTGCCCTTCACCCTCTTAGGATACCCTCTGTTCAATCCAGTCAAATTAGGTCTCAGAACCTGCAATTCACTGACCCAAATTCTTATTCATAGAAACAACATTGTGTAGCTTGGTCAATTATACAGTACCTCGTCCTTATCTATTCCATGTTATATTAGTACATATATTTTACTTCATTCGTTAGGGTGGAATACCTCTATTTAAAGGAAGAAGAAAAAAACATATTTTAACTAATATATAACCTTTATTTACACTGTCATAATATGTATTTTTTACGAAAAATTAACTCTAAATAAATACTAAAAAATTTAATGCAGTTTATGAATTTTCTTAATATTTATAATTTTTTTCTTTTATTATAAGCAACAACTAACCGAGTACAATGAATAAAACATGAAAGAATAATGTATTAGCAGAATAATTTTAGAACTTTATTATTATTATTATTTACTTTCATTGAATCATTTATTTTATTTCAGATTTTTTTATTATATCCATTCTTCATTCTAATATCTTATTGTGCGAAACTGCTGTAAAAATGACAACATCGTAAAATGAAATCTACCTCCCAAAACAATCTCTCACGTGTTAATTATAAACCAACTTTAGAAAATTAGGTGTGTTGGTAAGGATGTATCTGTCATCCATAACTCCACGATTGAATCCAATCTATTAAATTTGGATTAATTTTTTATTATTTAATGTAATATAATTGACCCAATTTTACAAAAATTAGATGAAAGATTATGAATGTTAAATCTAAAATCCAATCTAATAAAATCAGAATTCTTAAATAATAATAATAATAATAATATGAGATATTAAATTATTTAAAAAATAAATATTCATATTATATTTGTAAAAGTATTATAAACATCTAACCAAAATACTTTAAAATTACAAATTCTAACATAATTATACTTTTTAGAGTTTATAACTCAATTAACTTAACCAAATATAATTTCATGAAGATAGATTGGATCGGATAAAAAAAGTTAAGAGACATGATCTAATTCTTCTTAAAAATCTCTATTAAAATGAGTAACTGAATCTTATAAATAATATATTTTTAAATAAAAATTATTCAATTAGGATATACATGAATTTATCTATCTAAATAAATCTGTTTATTATTTATATAAAGGTGTTGTTTTTCTTTTTGTTTATAAATAATTTTTCTTTCTTTATTTAATATTTTTTTTATTTTTAATTTATTTTTGGGCTCATGTTTTTCTCTTTCTTTCTTATTTATTTTCCTAACTAAATTACTATATTAAACTAAAAATTTTAAAATCAACATTTAAGTTAAATAAATATTAATTAATTATTTAAAATTATGATGATAATAAATAATTTTATTTATTTTGACAATAAATAATTTTATTTATGATAACATACATAATTAATTTGTTATTTTATTATAATAAATAATTATTCATCTAATTAAAAAATATCAAATATTTATATTTTAAATGTATTTTTATTTAACAATTTAATCTAGTTATAATTAAGATAGGTTATAATAATTAGTTAGATTAGATAATTTTAAAAAAAATATTAAAATTACTTGAAAATAAATTTTTAATTTTTTTGTTAATAAATTTAACATAAAAATGATATTTATAACATCTCAAATTTATAATATAATATTTTTGAAATATAATATATTAAATTATAATCTTTTTACATCATTTAAATATTTTTATTTTTCAGTAATAATAAAATACTCATTATCAAATTTAATTTATTATTTTTAATTGAATAATAAAATAGAGTAAGAAAATAAAAAAAAGTAAATAAAGAAAGAAAAAAAATAAAAAAATAAGAAAAGAAAGGAAAATAACTATATTATAATAGACAAATTTATTTCTTATTATTGAATTTATATATAAACAATAAATAAGTCTAATTAAGTAAATAAAATTTATAAAAAAATTAATTAAGTAATTTTTCTTTTAAATATATTATTTACAGAAATAATTCGAATGGATAAACTGAACTAGGTAGAAAAACCTAACTTATTGACATACAATATCATTTAACAACACATTCTCATATGTTTATTTTAATGTATTGTTTAATAAAAATTATAAAAATACCAATATAATTTCTTAAAATTGAAATAAAACTTAAATATTTTTTGATAAATTACGGTAAATAATGTTGCATTTTAAAAAAAATATTTATTTATCTCTATCTACTTCTTATTTGAATTTATCAAAATAAATAAGTTGTTAAAAAAATATAATAATTGATATCTCATAATAAAAAACACAATGTTTTATTATAAGAGAATTCTAATTCGCTAAAACAATATAGTAAATATTTAATATATTATTTATTTTTCCTTTTAATATAAATATTGATAACTCATGTTTTAAAATACAATTTTTTATTATAAGAATTATAATTCACTAAAACAACATAGTAAATATTTAATATATTATTTATTTTTTCTTTTAATAATTTTACCATTAAAAAATGTGTTGATGAATAAAAATATAAATAAACTACTCTTGTTTTAATGTACCAAAATAAATCTTCCTCCAAAAGATTAGAGGAGTTTGATTTTTTTTTTCTAGATATAACTAACATTGCAATCACAAATGTATTAAAAATACTATTATTATAATTAATTACTGTATCTAGATTTAAAATAAAACATTAATTAAATATTCTTTTTGAAATGATATTTCATTAATTAAAATTTCTTTTGAAATCAAATTTCATATTTATTTAAATAAAGTCATATTTGAAAATAAAATTTTATTATTAGTTTACGAAAATAATAAAACAAAATCACATTTTAAAGATCTATTTCTTATCTCATAATTTTTGTTTTCAAAATTATTTATTTTATATTTCTGTTATGTTTGGGAGTAATATTGAGGGAGAGGAAAAATAAAGAAAGAGAGAAAGAATAAAATGAAAAAAAAAGTTTAGATTGAAAAAACAAAATATTGAAAATTGAATTTTTTTATCGAGTAGTTAATTTAACTAATATGAAAGAAATTAAAAAAAATATAATAATTAATTAATTTAATGAATTACTAACATATCTATCCTAAAATTTAATAATATCAATTAAAAATAAATAAAATAAAATATAATTATTTTTATAAATTTTAAATATTAATAAAAATGAATTTAAAATAGGGAATGAAACTTATTAATATATTAATTTTATTAATTCTCCATTTTTTTCATATATTGGAACTAAACATGTTAAAAAAAATCAATTTATTTCTTGTTTATTTACTATGTTTCATCAAATATCTCTATTTAACTTTCTATCTATTTTTCTCTTCTCTATTAATTTTTCCTTTTTTTATACTTTTCTATTTCTTTCAAACGAATAAGATTTATGAATGAAAAAAAAACTCTATTAAGTTATGTGATGTAATATAAAATTTAAGGTGAAGTATATATTGTCATTTTCATCATATAAGCAAGTTAACTTGCTAAAAGAATTAACTTAATTTATAGCAATATTTTTTTTAACATCAGCAAATCAAACTAAAAAACAATAGGGATAAATAGACAAATTAAAACAATACATGATTATATATATATATATATATATATAGAGTCATATCATAAATACATGTAAAAACTTCTTTCAAATAAAATAAACAAATGTAATTGATTATATAGTTCGAGATAATTAAATATGTTGAACATGCCTCCCTTTTATTGAAGATATGTATGATATTTAATTTTTAACATATCCCTTAATTAAAGAACTTAAGTAGTTTAATAATGGATACATATTTCAACAACAGTTAATAAATAATATAATATTCAAACAATGATAAAATTCACTCTGTTAAGAATGAAAAATTCGCTAAATCAACTTAGTTTTATAAAATCATTTTATAAAATTATATATTATAATTTCATTATATTTTTAATAATTTTAATGTGCCTTCATTGTTATGATATTCTAAACCAACTTCGATATGCAACAAAAGTTTGAATGGGCTCTGAAAAAAAAAAAAGGGCAAATTTAACCTACCCTTTCACTCGATAAGATAATCTAGATACCAGGGGGCATAATGCTGTAAAATCACAGTTGAGTTGGTTGGGTAGAGTAAAACTGTCTTTCAAAACTCTGCAAGATAAAAAAAAAAAAAAAATACAATGCAAGATACACTTATCCTTTGTTGCAATATCAGTTAAGAGGCTGCATTTGTTTAAAATGTTTAAGCAATTATTTGTTTTGGGGCACAGCACTGATCACAAATCCTTAGAAAGATTTTGAAGTATTCCAATTCACGAAGGATCACATCAACATGGACACTGACCAAAATGTCTAAGTATTGTTGAACAAATTATCATGAGATGTTAGTGAAGAGCAATTGTTTAGTGGTATGGGCAAGTATAGTTTGGAGACAAAGAGGTGTATGCAACCCCAGGTGGTTGTCACATGATCTGAAGCTTGAAATGGAGATGAAGTTAAGTTAGGAAGCCATGTTGAGGGTTTGAAATGACAGGAGTTGGCACTTGGGGACATTGCTTTTTGTGTGTGCATGCACAAGTGGGTGCAGATGAGGATATGAAAGTGAGGTTTCTTGTAGAAAAAGGGATGTGTGTGTTGGCACCACATAAAACAAACAGCCCAATTAGTTGATGTGCTTAAGTCCTGTTGCAGTGAACACACAAGAACATGGTTTTGGGGGAATGACCCAGATAAATCACAATGTGAGATTGTCTTCAAACCTGTCAAATGCCAAAAGTGTATAAATATGAAAAGGTCAGAAATGGCCCACCATATTAATAGTAGGGCTGATGCATAAGATTCTATCGAGGGTGTTCCTTTGGAAGCATTTGAAAAATCACAAAACACATAGTATAATGTCATAGGCCCCTCCTCCTCCTTCCAACATCAGATGCTGCAACAAAGAACAGGACGGATCTAATTGTATCTTGCAAAATTGAAATCTCATGCAGAGCCACAGACAGAGGGAGCATAAGTAGTTACAAACAATAAAACAAAATGTTTTGCCTCCATACTTCTCATTTATCTGTTGGAAATCAATCATGTGTGTATGTGCATCCAGTTAGGCTTGTACTCTAGAGACACAAGAGAATAAGAAGCACAAACTATGTTCCGTATGGTTCTTGTCAATTCTCCTTTTCTTCTTTCTTAATATATTTTTACTTTCTGCATTTTTCTACAACAATTTCTTTTCTTCTCACTTCTCCCCTCTCTCTGTCTTTGCCTGTAAATACAGGTGAACATGATTGTATAAGTAAAAGAGTGTATAAGTAACATTTTCTCATAAATAGATGATACGTATAACAAGATTGCATATAAGATAGATAGAATTATAAGAAAGTCTGAAAGTCTCAAATCTTTGTCCTAATTAATTGCAAAGAGGCTTGGACCACCCCCTGTGTGTTGTACTTTAGTCGCATAAAGTTAACTAATATTTACAGAACATTCAAGGCATAGAACATGTTCAGGTATAATCAACCTAGCAAAACATCACAAAATATAATCTTTAGAAATCCTTTCTTTTTCATAGTACATAACTCCTACAATGTTCTGACCAAATTCTGATAAAGATAAGAAGAACAAACATCACTAAATATATTGAATCACTCAAGTTAATTAGTAACAAAAATGCCAATCTTTTCACTCGGGAATTATTATAATTTTTGTTTAATAAATATAAATACATTTGAAAATCTTAAAAGTATCACCTTTAAAAATGGTTGGTGTAACTTGATTTGAATTTATTTATTTGAACGGCTTACGTGGACTAAATACAAAGTTGAAAAATGCATTGAGTAAAATAGAACGAAATATTATGGTAGGAAAGAGAAAGAACCATGCCAAGAGACAAGTATAATTCAATAGCGTAAGGTAAATGACGATAATAACCCTGGGCTGCGTGTGATTGATAGATTTTTTCTTTCTTTCTGGAAATCATTATTTTTATAAATTATGATTTTTAAAAATTGTTGAAATTTATTGATCGTAAATATATATTTTTAAAATATTTGCGCATACTTTTTGAATCAAATATACTACATTTAGTTTTAATATTTATAAATTTTAGCTATTTATCATATTAAATGAAATACTAAAATTAATATGACAATTTTATATCAATAAAACATTTGTTTAACTAATAAAAATATATTATAACAAAATTTGTGAATAATGTAAGTAAATAAAATTCTCCAAAACAATATTTTTAAAAATGTTATTTTTAAATAATAAAATAAATATGAGCAACATATATTCTTGGAAGACAAAAATATTTCTTATACCAAACATGTCTTTTATGATTATGTTTCGCGTGATAAAAGAGGAAAAAATATGATAAGCGAAAAATAAAAAAATCTAAATAAAAGGGTAAAAAAATTAAAGAATAAAGAATTTGTTTGGGTGAAAGATAAAGCTGATGTATTTGTGAAGTAATAAAATTGTTCCGGAATCATAATTAGTCCTACGTTGATTAAAAGTATTTTCTAAATTAATAAACAAATAATAAAATTGTGATAAATTAGAACTCCTGCATAAAAATTAATTCTAATAATATTAATAACAAACCTGAAACCCTTTAAAGAAAGTTTATCTCCATGAATGATATATGTATCACTGTTGTTAGTGTGGGCGATAAATGTTACTTATTTTTGGGGTAAAAGAAATAAGATTGAAAATGAAAATTAGGGTGGAAATTTACGGAGGATGTATTTACCGCGAGAGTATCGTGTAAAGAGGAAGATGATCCTAATTTGGCAGGGAGCATTGAAGAGTGAAGTAAATTTAATGATAAAAAATGAATTTGCAAACGTTAGATGGAGTAAATGTAACGTCTAAATTTTGGTGCATGTTTAGATGCAGAAAGATCTTCTGCAAGATTTTGGACACAGACAATCAAAATCAATCTCCTAAAGGAAATCAAAGGACACACTCTTGGATCAGTCAAAAACCCAACCCTAATGTTTTTAGATATACCTTATGCTTTTTTTTTTTTTTTTTTTACATTATGATATATATATATATATATATATATATATATATATATATATATATATATATTAATTAAACACAGAATTTAAATTGGTGTTTATCTTTTAATATAATTTATCAATGTATTTGAACCCTACTACTGGATTATATAACACAAGTACTTATTTCATCTGGTAAAATATTCTTACTAGTTATTACATGCAGTAGAAGATCCACATTTTAGGGCTGGACCCCGGTAGCTGCAGGGTGTAAATGCAATTCTCCATTGACACATGTAAAACCAAATGCAGTGTTTCTGTCACGTTAATTTAACTTGGCATCTGAAATCACTTTCAATATGTGCTATAGTCCTATGCATTAAGAAGACACAGCATATGCATTTAATTTCAAAACTGTGCTATATTTTCAGAACCTGGTGTCTTCAATCCAACTTCTTGTAAAAGCTGCTGCAAGAACAACTGTCTGGAAGTGGAGGAAAACCAAATCATAATCAAAACTTGAATTTATATTTATGAATTTGCCTGTAGATGCTGACAGATTCAGAAAACAACTATAAAGGTAGCATAATATCAGTTGCATTTCAATTATAGAGAATATCAACCTCTTTAATATTTGACTGAAAAAGGATACACTATTTTACTGATTGAAACATGAGTAGATTTTGTATGATTTTTTTTCAAAGGATAATTAATATATATAAGTTAAAAGAGATAGAAATACACCATAAAAGGTCCCACAAAACTTGAAAAAACACCACAAGTTTAATAGCTTCAGCTTTCATATTTATAATCTTTTTCTGGTGTTTGTATAATGTGAAAATCACATATGAGGAAATATGATATTACTTAGAATAACTAAAGCATGTGGTGGAGTGCATTCGTGGTATCTTTTTTGTTCTATATTTCATAGATATGCACGCATGACACCTGAAACAATATAATAATATAGAAGAGACAATAATACTCAATTCAACTTTAACAACCTAAATTGGATGATCTATATATATGGTCCATACCTCAAAGTACAATAAGATTATGCTATGTCAGTAATAAGCCAAAAGATTTGTTATTGTAAGATTCAGAAGATATCATTATTGGATCTAAGTTTAAAACATCTATATAAATGCCTTGGAAATAACTACAAGAGTATGAAGACTTTACTCCATCGTTTCTCTAATGGATTGTAAACTTTAGTGAACACATGTATAAAACACAAAGGAGGGTGTGTAAAAGGCTATGATGGCAAACATAATGATAAAGATAGGGTGTTTAGACGTACACTGTATGTAATAACTGACAAGCCCCAACAGACTGTAACATAGGCTGATTCATGAAAGAAAAGAAAATGACTGAATATGAAACATCATGTATAAAGACCTCAACTAGTAGACGACTTCATTTCACATTCAATTTGTGCAAAATCGAAAATTTTCGACACAATTCCCAACAATTACCCGATGTCAACAACTCATCACAAATAACTGGTGTAACAGCACAGTAAAAGAGCTTGATAACTACGAATACTTTATAGAAAATAATTCATGGACACTTTCAAAGATAAGAAGATAGAAGAGAAAATAAAAATAGATTTGACGTGTAATTAATCAGTAATATGATGTCTCATGAAAATTGAGACGGGAAAAAGAAAGTGTGTGAATCAAGTTTAAATAGTGTGTTCATAGATTCTTCAAAGTTTGGACTCTTTCTCTCTGTAAGCTCCAGTGAACAGTACTCTGTATAGTAAACCATATCAGTACTATTACGAAAAGGATAAAATCCAAAAAATTAGTAAAAACGAAAAAATTGGTTAGAAATTTTAATCGGTTTTGATAAAAAAATATTTTAGATTAATTTTTTTAATATAGTTTTTTATAAAATATATAATATATTTTAAGTATTATTATCTCATATTAATTATATTTAATTTTAAATAATAATTATTTTAGTATATTTTTATCTTATTTTAATAATTATTCATCAATATATTTTATATTTGTAATCTCCATTATAATAATCATTTTTATTATTATTTTTATATAAAAAGATATTATTATTAGTGAAGAAATTATATTATAAATATATTATTTTATTAAATCTAGCTTATCTCTAATTGAAAATGATTCCATATATTCACCTATAAAATCAAGATTGTAAAAGGAGGTTTAATTTTGTTCATATGTTGATTATTGTTTTCTTTTCAACAAGATACTATATTTTTTATATGTTGATAACTTGATCTCAATAATTTCGAAGTTTAATCTTATCATTCGTTTTCACGTACAAAAATTTTAGTATTTGATAATTCAACATCAATCACGCACATAATAATGTAAAATTTGCATGTATTCTACATGGAACATAATATAACCTATATAAAAAGTGTATATTATGTATTGGTTATAATATACATTGGTTTACATTCAACTAGAGTTCAAGAAGTAATATCGAATTTCTACGAGACAGATGTAGAACTGAGTTATTGTAGTAGTGAACTTATCAAAGCAACCGTCGCAGCGGATATGAGATCAATCTATCACTGAATTGATAGAAACTGGTAACTGGTTTCTGACCTTGTGCACACGAAAATATCCGTAGAAAAGAAGAAGATTAAAACCTGTTATGCACATGCTTAAAAGAAACAATTTTCTGAGATCAGGTATGACTACATAATTGTGTGAACTTGAATACTACCAATTTTCACCACCCAATACTCCTTTTGGGACGTGATAGTAGCAGGCCACGTGCGTAGACCCGTGATGTGCAGTGCTGAAGAAACATGGCAGGCCCAACGGTTCTTCATGGCCAACGTGCCACAAACATGTTATTTTATTACTATTGTAATGCATGAGGATCTGACACTGACGAGTATCTGTAACCCTTTGAGAACCCTATGATTTGTGTAAAAGCTTTTTGCTACAAGAGAAATGGTGCTTAAGTAAGGGCTGTGATCACCTTTTCTGATATCTTTCTTTCTCATTCTCTTGGTAGTACTAAGAGGACCCCAATCAAAAGCTTCCTACCCTATAACACATGCACAACAAGAATCACCATTCATACATGCTGTAATTCACAAAAATATTAAAGTATTTGAGAGTTGCTCTGGCAATCAACCTTTAAAAGAGGGTCCTGAACAGATAATACAATTGTGGGAACAGAAAATAAAAAAACCCCTAGTACGTCCAAAGCTAGTTGTTGATCCAGCTGCATCATTGAAGCAATTACACTACATTTTGGCACAGTATTCTGCGCCCGTGATGTGACAGGTCTTGTTATAATTGGAAATGGGAAGAGGGGCACCATGGCTTCTCGCAGTTACTAGTGGCAACTTTCATCAAATGCTTGGAGAATAGCATCAGAGATCAGAACAATCATAAAAATAGTCGACCCTACTGCCATTTTGTTCTACGTTCCCTGTCAAACAGGGAACCGACAGTAAATAATTCCCATCATTATCGTAAGGTTCCATATACATTTCTTAGGCAAAACAACTATTCATTTAGTTTTTAGTTGTTTGTCTTTTAAGATTTGATGCTTAATTATAGTTAAAACCGTCAAATTTAGTCTTTATATATTAATCAAACGTTAAGCAGGTTTTAAAAATGATTTGTGACCATAATTTTAGGTTGAACATGAAAGATTTTGAATTCTATTCATATAATATTTGAAAACACTTTTTGATAGTATTACTAAAAAAGAATCTCACTTTTAATGTATACAAGTAGAAAACAACTACAAAAATCAGTTGAATAAGATTGATTTAATTCTGCACTTAAAATTTAAGATAGTATTGATGTTTATGCTAGATTTTTTTAATTGGTAACTTACTTTATAGCAAATATAACAGTGATGATTGCAGGATAATTTGTTGAAAAAAACAACCCATATCAGCCAGCATAGATCAAACCAAACTAATGTACAAAAATGAGATAACCTTTCAAAGATGTAACACAGTTGCAAACGGAGATAAATTATATATATATATAAACTCTGTTGTCTGATCCGACCTCTCTAATACAGAGAGGCTCAGAAGAAAATTAATAATAGAATCTGAATATGTTGCATAAAGTTAATTTGTAATGGTTATAAGATAAGCTCGTGTGAGGAAAAAATGGATAGGTTGGAAAAGAAACAGGATCTGAATTTAACTTACTCTACGGACAGCCATGAGAATTATTGCTACCTTGCTTGAAGATAGTGCTCCTGCAATTTCATCTAACTGGATACAAACCCATTAATATATAGTTGTTAAAACTTGGCACCAACCTGTCAGTAACCTCGTCCACTTGTCACCCAGATGCTTCCATCAACACAACATCTTAAAAACTACTATTATATTATATGCTCAAATTAATTGTGTTGTGACAACTCAAATAAATTATTACATCCAAGACACAATCTATTCCCCCACTTGCTCCTCTTTGCTAGTTATGCACATACCAACCCCGTATATACAACGTAATACAACATCAAATTAAGAGGGCTGTGTAGGTACTACTAGAATGTTATAATAAACTAACTGGCAAGGGGGAAAAAAAGGAAAGAAAAAAAAAAAACATTCTCTTCCTCACATTAATGAGCCATCCTAGACAAGATGGTCATGTTTTGTTGATGGTTAAAGATAGAAACATGGCCGACACCTGAAGATTATAATAAGAAGCAAAGACCACATGTAACACGTATTGAACTCCATTAAGAAACACATGGACTATGATAATTAATATATATAAAGGAAATTTTTTAATAAATTATTAGAATATATAACTTATAAATGTCTTTTTTTTTTCATTTTTTCAATTAAACATTTTCAGTATTTATTTCTCTTTTACAAACAGCAATTATTCTCAACATTTTGCTACTAGTTAAATTCTCTCAACCATGTCAAACTATTCTCAATTTATCTTTACTTATGTACTTGATCTTCTTAATTATATATCTATTTTAGTGTAATTTCCTTTATCTTTATTTTTAAATTAAGTTTCAACACATGTAACGGTACATCACAATTTAAATATAACAGAATTAGTCTGACAAAAACCTGAGCAATTAGCATAAATCCCATTTGTTTTCCTAAAATGGCTCCTGAGGCATGCCATTGTACATTCATATGGCCTCACAGATGACTTGAAACGGAGGTAGTGAATTTATTTACTTCTTGTTTGGGAAAAGGCTGAGGGGATGTACTTTCCAATATTGAGCCAATGTTACAATCCTCAGCCCCATGAAAACAAATAATCAATTATTTTTCATGGACAATGAAACGGCCCAATTCATTCTTACAATTAGGCCCAATTCAATATTACTAGCATATTTTATTTTCATAAATAATAATAGATATGAATGAGCTAGGTTTTAGATGGAAATTTTTAGGAATATGATAATGTTTCTGTTTTGTGCATAACAGTAATATATTCTTGGGTTATGTCCATTTTAGTTATCCAAGAGGGGAACAAGAATGAAGTCTATTTTTATTTCTCTCTTTTGTTCAAAGAGAATGCTCTGATCTCAAATCAGAGTCTGATAATTGATATGTGAAAGTAAAGAAAGAGATAATTACTTCTATTCTTTCATGGCCACACTTGATTTTGTGGAATATGATTATTTTTGTGTGTTATCCAAATACACTATTCAATTCTTTTTGTTGGGGGAATAAAAAGACTATTATTAGATTCTTCACTTCTTTGTGTGGTATCAGTTCATTACACCACTCAAAGATGAAACTTGATACAACCCTGTATAAGGTCAGTGCCATTTTCCCTACTCGTTCTAGATCAATTATTGAGATAATATTCCATGGAAATAAAAAATGCAGAGACTATTCTTGCGCATTAGCATCGAGAGCAGTGTTCATTGACACAATCTAGTATTTAATAATGAGGTAGAACATGAATCAGTATCAACATAATTTCACAGATGTATCAAAGAAACTCGAGTCTGGTAATTTTAAAAATAAATTAAACAGGGCATAGTAACATCACCAATTGTCAGTAACCTAGGACAAAACTTATTCACACCAAAGGGTACAGGGGAACTGGAAGGCTCCACTAATGGGGTATACACTCAATGTCAAGGATTCATGGATATTTCATATTTTGGATTTGACTCCTCGAAGGGTTAAAGTATTATACTAGTTCATTAGAAAGTTGACTGTTTGGATTCTAGAAATTCTCTAGTTAATAATATATGTTCCAGCATCAAAATCAATTCCATAATCCAATTTCCTACTTTACTCTCTAAAGTGCACCCAGATCCAAATCGTTCTTTTCCACAACCAAAATATTTTTTCATTTGAATCACAAGCAGCGCTTTTTCCATCACAACTTAAAAGACACACATATACTTATCAACCACTACCAAAACGTCAGGGAGACTATCACATGCTATATATCATTTACTAGAAAGCATTGTGAGCATATAGCAGAAGTAACAATACTGTTGAAATATATGATACATACAAATATGTCAATTATGTACGTCTAAAAAATGAAGTTTTATGAAATAAAATAAAAAATACATAAGAATTGGCATAAGAATTACAAAAAAGTTCAATGGGCTGGAGATTCGCCAAAGATGAAAGAAGATGCAGGGTGCAAGCTGCAACCACAACAATGATTGTGAACGCAATAGCGGATCCTTGAAATTCAGCTATCCATTAGTGCAGCTTTAGCGGATATTTAAACGACACTGACCACTATACATTTTCTTTACGATATCAATCACTATACTTCAGCAAAACCAACTTGACTCACCTAACATTGTTGGAAATTGCAGACAAATGCAACTGCAATTACAACCAACTAATGTTTTAAGTTGCGATTGCCATCCTTGATTTTAGGAAATTATAGACAAATGGGACTGCATTAACGGTATGAGGTCACGGTGATCCAAAAGACCTTGATGTTGCAGCTGAAATCATGATAGCAACTATTTTTTAAAACCTTGTCAACAACAACCATTTACTACAACCGTTGTCCTACCTCACAAGTCTCCTAACTATCAATTTAAGAAACCTAAATCCTTATCCTTATTTTCCATCATCAATATCTCCATTTCTCTGAATCACAAGCAGCCCATTCTGTGCATTATGTTAACAGATTTGCACATATGTTTTATCAATATCAACCACTATACTTTAGTCTTTACAAAAAACCAACATCCAGGTTTTATATTGTGGTCACCATTATGATTTCAGTTTCATCCACTCTTTAACATCGTGGAAAATTGCAGACAAATGTGGGTGACCCTAAAGCCCTTGATGTTTTGACTAAAATGTTTTAAACCTTGCCAACAACAACAACAACAACAACAAACTACTAGAACTATTGTCTTACTCCTACTTCAAGAGTCTTAAACCTCAATTCAAGCAACCTAGCATTAAACCCGCCATCACTAACCTTCAACATATCTTTCAACGGCATCGAAAAACCAAGCCGCCTCAGCATCTCGAATCTCGGCTTAATCCTCCGCTCCAAGCTAAAAGAAAAATACTGAGGAAATCTCTTCAGCTCAGCAACATCCCCATTCATCTCTTTCAAGAAAAACTCCGCCTTGGGCACCAAATTCTTCTTCACGCTTAACGTCAACAACCCAGGGGACCTAACGACCATGTTGGAAACCTCGTGGTGGGTGAACCCCAAACCCTTCAAAAACTCAATCTTGGGCAAAAGGGTGTCGTCCACGCTGGACATGAGGAGCAGGGTGGTCTGGCACGTAAGGGAGTGGGGCCCACGGAACCCTAATTCCCTGAGAAAACGCAATGTAGGACGCAATTGGTTATCGACACTGGAGACGAGCAATCTGGGACAGCGGAGGATGCAGAGGTGGACGTCGGGAAAGGGGATTGGGACTTCGTGGAGGAGGAAATCGAGGAAAGGGTAGAGGTGGGAGTAGGGGTCGCATGTGAGGAGCACGGGGTGCATGTCAAGAATGCGCCCCATGGCGGCCCGTGGGACGCCGAGGGAGTAGAGGCATCGCGTGACGGATTCGATAGCGGAGAGAGGGGAGGAGCGGAGGGTGGGGTTCAAGCGGAAAGCCTTGTCCGGGTTCACTTTGAGGGCTTTAAGGTAACGCACCTTTTCGTGGAATACGAGGCCGCGGTCCGAGGTTGTCGCGGGATTGTGGCGGCAAGAAAATTGGGGGTGCGGTGGAGCGAGTTGCATGTCGGGTGGATGACGATGATGATGTTGGTGACTTGGCGCCCTTACGGAAACACTCGTCGATTATTTATTAAAAGACGTGTCGTTTCCTTACCGGGCTTGGTTGTAGCAATTTGTTAGCACGACGAGCCTTTTTTGTTGAAGGCTTAAACTATTTGGGCTAAAGTTTATTCTCGGCCCATGTTTAGATGTTTAATCGTCCCTGTGTATAAAAATAAAACTCTTTTAACTAACTCATACTTTTGAAAAGAAATAGTAAATAACATGAAATTTACCAATACTTATTCTATTTTTGTAAATTATGAATTGATTTTTTAATTGCTAACTAATATTACGAAAAATAAATTGTAGAGACAATGAAAATATGGGTCGTAACGGGTGGTTGGTTTGGGGTGTTTCATATTTAGGCTTTCTTCTCCTAGCGAGTAAAAGTTATCCAAAAAGCCCACCTAATCTCATTGATCCAATCAAGCCCACATAACCAATACTGCATAACACTAGGCCTGCTTCCAATTTTTTCCACCTTTGAATAATAAAACCACCAAGTAACATTCTACCAAACTCAAATTTCTCTTCAAACATACTATTATCATAAACCAAATCTCATTACTAAAATTAGTTTTCAATTTCAAAGTTGCTTTGGTTTAATGTTTAATGCCTCATTCTCACATCAGCATTTTCAACTTCACAATAATTTATTCACCCAATCCTTTTTGGACAAAATATATATATTTAATTTTACTCCAATCCCTTACTTGTCCTTTTAACCCTTGGACCAGTTTAAAAGTGCATACAATATTTGCATAATTTAATGAATGGCCTTAATTACCAGGAGATTTTGTGGTATTTAAAACCATTATTAAAATTATAAAAAAAAAAAGAATGTATACAAATAGTCCTTACAAACATTAAATATTAGCTAACTTGGTGGCTACTTCAACCATTCACGCCTTCACGGAGTTTATAATTCCACACGAAACATTTGCGTCATTTCTTGACCTTATGAGTTTGTGGTTTTAAAAGTTAAGCACTTTTTATCAGTTTTAGAAGTTAGTATAATTTTTTGAAACATGTAAACCAAAGCAAAACATCTCGAACATTAATTACATGCAATTAGCAGGCAATAGCACAAAGTGTGTAGAGAACAAAATAATTGCAAGAATGAAGCAAAGAGAAGGAGAGAGATTGTAATAGTAAATTACTGCAACCTTCCATTTACACTTTGAAAGTTCAATACAGCCAAAGACATATTTAACCAAGGTTGCTTACAACATGAATGCTTCCAAAAGTCACAATAGTGAACAAAATTTAAAATAAAAATTCCAATACTAATGGCGGGTGGTACAACACAGTCCACCTCCTCCAATTTAGTAGGTCACATAAAACATATATAAACTCCATCTCTGCTAGCTTTCAGCAGCAGAAAGGTTGAAAAAGCTTTCAAAAATTAAAAATAAAATAAAAATACCCCAATAATAATATAAAAGGCCCTAAGAATTGGGAACCCCTCTTATGATTAAGAGCCAGATTAAAATAAGCCCTTAATCAGTTTGTGATCCCTAGAATGGCAATTGACCCCACCCACCCTCTCCACCAAGTAGCATACTATTTAATACCCTAGTATACTATTGTGTCTTACTAACACTTAAATTGAGAAATAATAAAAACACAGACTACTATATGTAGTGATGTATCTAAATATTTGGAAGTTGTGAATGATTATGGCCTCTAGCGGAATTGAGCACCGGTGTAGGTTTGGCCAAAGGACCACCCAGCTGGAGCAACATTGTAGGACACCACTGTGTGCCCATCACTGGTTGTGACCTTAAAGGAGAGGCTTTGCCCATTGAGATAGTTGTTGCTCTGCCAGTTCTGACCCCAGTTCCTGGACATTGGCATCCATCCAGTTCTGGACCCTTTGATGGCCACTGCATGCACATCCCCAGCACCACCTACGTTTGTTATGAGGACCAGGTTGAAGTAGGAGTGTCCGTTGATGGTGAACCTTATGCCTCCCCTTCTCCTGCAGGGTACCCTGCAAAAAACCCACACAAAGAAAAATTCAACATGCTACTCTTGTTTCCTGTTTGGCATAACGTCAGAAGGATTTTTATATAAATAGTAGATCTTAAGGATTTTTACATGAAATATTTATATATCGACTTCATTGCTTACCATAACATATGTACCCAACACTATACTTTCTATTATTTCTATGTAGTAGATAGAAATCAGATTTCTTATAAATTAAAACGTTAACCCGTTAGGTCAAAAACAGTAATTTCACTATAAAGTTACCGACTTTGAGAATAAAGTGGTTTCGTCATTTATCACTTGGACAAAAAGCAGGGAAACTTCCAAGAACTTGCGTTCATAAAGAACAAGAAAATTCCTTTTGGAAAGTTGAAGGTGACAAGAGGGTAAGGTAACCCATTTTGCTAAAACTCCAAAGAGCAAAAAACGAAGATAATTAATTCCTTACCTTCTGTAGGACACAGGCACAATTCCAGCTTTGTATTGTGCAATGCGCAAAAAGACAGGCTGAGAGAGGTCAAAATGGTGCAGAGGAGGGTTGCACCACCCTCCTGCATTGTTGGGTAAGGCATTGTTTGGAGGGCAGAAATTGGTGGCAGTGACCAAAATGGAGCCAGGAAGGCACCACCTGTGGTCACTCACACACCTTATCTCATAGCATGAGCCACAGCTCAGACCATTGTTGAACAAAGCAGTGCTTAAAGCAGCAGTGTTTGTTCCATATCCCTGGCTGTAGAGGTTCCCATACCCACAAGCCCCACCTACAAAAATTTCATCACCAAACAAATTAGTCATAAAGAGTTACTTTGTTAGGCCTTAATCTATTAATCAAGTCCCAAGTAAAAAAAAAAATGGATCCTTTTTACAATGCTTTAACTTGCTACATACCCATTGTTCCAGATGCATCACTCCCTCCATAGAAGGTAGCGTGTGCATTAACCCAGCCACCACCATACCCATAGCCATAGGCAGAGGAGAACATTGTGAGAAGAAGCCCGAGCGAGATGAACAAACAAAATTGAGCCATTTTCCTGAACAAATCCAAAACAAAACAATTAGTCATTTCAAATTGCATGCAACATTACTAAGAACTTAACATGATGCAATGCAAATTTGCAATTACTTTGACAGAGAAGCTTGAATTGGAGCGGTGAGAGACAATGTGTTGTGGATGAGTGAAGGAAAAGTGATGGGGGGTGGCACTCAATTTATAGACCTTGGAAGGCTCAAGCAATAGGGTCAGTCACAGCTTTAACTAACGCTTTTAAAACTGTTGGGACCAAAAACTGCAAAGGGTATAAGCGGTTTCTGAAACGCAAAAAAACAGTGCAATTTGCTAAGGGGCCCACGTTTGAAGCTACGAAAAGCTGTTTTGTAGCTGAAGACGTGTGGTTTTGTAGCTTTCGTGGCTGGAAAATCTACGAAATCATTGTGGGCCATAGCGGTTTTAACTTGGAACGTTAATATGCTGCCATTGCCACATGCAAGCATCTTCCATTTGCCGCAAATACCCTTTTCCTCTATCTCTACGCTTTTTCAACTCTTTTTTCTGTTCTTTTTCTCAATTGGAAAATGTTGTTATCACATGAAAAATAGATTATGATTTAAAAGCTCAACAAAAAATGCTTTAACTTCTCCTGACACTTGGTGGAAAAGTAAAGTATAATCTCTTCAGCTAATTTTATATAATATATCAATCTTTTTAACTTGTTTCGAAAATTAATTACTCTTATTTATACAATATATAAGAATATTTTAAAAACTAATTACATTTCATCTATAATAATAAAACTGATGATGCCATTTTATATGTATACTTTTTAAGATCTTTTTACTTTTATTTATTTTTTAATTCTACAATGATATAAATAACTGCAGTATCTTTCAATTTTTAATTTTACTAAATAATTTTTTAATTAGATATAACTGTTTGTGCAGGAATTTTTTGTTATCTTTTAAGAAACTGAAATATCTTTTTTTCCTTTAAAACACCTTATTCTCTTTTCCTATTTTTATTTGTTAATTTATCTTATAAATTTTCTCGATTCAACAAAATTTAAACACTACAAGCAAATTCTGATGACTTGCAGTAAATATTATTATTATTATTATTATTTCACTAATGATAAATATTTATTTTGGGAGGTTGTGTTAATTTTGAAAATGGTCATAAATGCTTGTGTGCAGAGAAATTGGCATCAATAAGACTTGTGTAGAATTGGTGAAACAGTTTCTCTTCCTTCATGAGGTTTTGCTGATACTATGTCCGTTTCTCCGTTTCTAAAACGGCAACTGAAGGAAGCACAGTTTCACACTCCCCTAAGTAAACCGCGTCAAATCTACTTTTCTTTAACATAAATCTAACCACAAAAAATATAATATTTATTTAAGTATTTTTATTTCTCAATAAATATATTATTATATATTACAAAAATAAACATTATCTCTAAATATTTCGGACATATTATAAATAAAAATATTATTTATTAGAAACAAACAATCTTAATCAATTTATAATTTCAAGAAAAAAATTAGTTATAGTCATTTTTAGAAAGAAACAATGTTTATATGTCCCACAAATTCTCAATTTTATTATATAATGTAACACATCTTAAGTCCGTGTACCATATTCCAAATTTAATTCCTAGGGTGTGAGCATGCTTAAAATAGTTAATTTTGTCTACTTAACTTTTACACGCATGAAAAACTAATTTAACAATTTCTTACGTATAATAGTAATTTGAGAATTATATTTGTAAACATTAAAATGCATGCTTGAGCAAATAATCAATGTATACAAATTTTACGTAACAACCCAAAATTAATTATGTAATTTAATTAAATATAAACATAAACATAAATATTAAATATATAAATTATCTTTTTAAAACTTTTTTTTATCCACAAGGATTATTATTATTATTAATTTAATTGAAAAACATTATAGGAAAACAAATCCTTTCTGTAATTCTAAAGATTAATCTATAAAACATGAACAAAATAATAGTAAAAACATTCTATTTGTCAAAAAAAATTATAATAATAATAACTTATATTAGAGAGCTTAAAATAAGTCAGAATTATTGTTTTAAAATCTATTGAGTCAAATTTTATTAAATACATAAAAATAAGGATATTTTATAAAGAATGATGATTTATAAAAAATAGAATAATTCTATTTTATAGGTGGTAAATTATACTTATTTTAAAATCAATAATTACCTTTTAGATATAATATTGTATATAACCAAATAATCAGGCATATTTGTATATTATTACTATAGTATGTATTTAAATAGATGAATTGGAAAAATATTTTTATTAGACTAAACAAATATTGTAAATGTAAAAATTCGAACAAGTAAATAAGACTCCAAGCTCAAAGTGCTCCCGTATGAGTTAGCTAAGTAAATCTTAAATATGAATTTCTATAAGACTTATATGAGATATGAAAGGATTCCTGTTATTTTTTGGTTTGTGTGAATTAATTATTTTTCTCTCCATTTGTAGGTGTAAACAAGTGGATTCCAAGCATTATAAGTTTTTCTTGTTAACTATTTTTGTTAAATTATATTTTATTTGAATTAAATTTAAAAAGTATCATTAAGATCAAGGTGAATTAATTTAGAACAATAAATGACATGGACTCGATATAAAGCTATGACCAATATGTGTTTGATATATAATTATTATCGATACGTGATCAATGTAAAGTTATGATCGAGATGTGCTCGATATATAGTTATAGCCAAGTAAAAATGACAATTAGATTCATGTTATAGATGAAATATTCTTTTGATAATAACATGAAACTTGATGATTGCCACAATATATTTGATTTGGTGATATTAAGTGTTATTACATACTATTGTCAAATAATTATTATGGTGTAATAATGTCTCCAATATTACCTAGCTCAATGTATAACTTAGATTATTTAAGATAATATTAAATTAACTTTTTAAGATGAGCTCCAAAGCTCCCTCTTATTTGACTTTTTCCATAAATTTGATAATTTATGGAGGCTCTATCTTATTTAGTTTTTTTATATAAACTTGATGAATTATAGAGACTCTATCTTATTCAACTTTTACTATAAAGACATGTTATATTTTGAGTTGTGTAAGCTACGAATTTTTCGCATTAGCACAAAGTTAAGTGTAGCGTAGAATAATGTTAGAAATATATGTTTTATTATCTTTTATTTAAATTATATTAAGAGATTTTTAAAATATGAGAAGAAGATATTAAGTTTATTTTGATTTAGATAATTAGGATAGAGATATTGTTAATATTTTATATTTTATCATATTTTTAATCTATATATACATAGAGTATAAGAATAAAAGATATGCGTACATGAAACATAAAAAATACACATACACAAAATCTTAAAAATTTTCATCGGTGTATCAAGAACTTTGGTTCTTATGAAAACAATGGAAAAATATTTTTTTTTTACAAATCACTATTCCAATTTTGATAGCAAAAGTTATGACCTATATGGGTTGTGAAAATGCAATCTTATCTTGAAGAAATGGATTATAGGAAGCTGTAAAAGAGGATTACATCATTTCGCTGTCTGAAAATCCACTAGAGTTCAAATCAAAATTCCAGAGAGAGAAAAATCAGGAAGAAAAAAGTAAAATCATGTCTATTTGCTGGTGTTTGACAAATGACTCTCACTAGAATCATGATGCTAAAGTTAACCAAAGAAATTTGAGATTATTTGAAAGACCAATATGAAGAGAACGAGAAAATTTGAGGTATAAAAATTATAAATTTGATAAGGAGATTTGAGATACAAAGGATGCAAGAGTTTGACATAATTAATTAATACTTCAGCAAATTGATCGGTATTGTTAAGGAGATAAAATTGTTAGGTAAATAATTTTTTAATGTCAGAATAGTTGAGAAAATTTTGGTCACTATGGTAGAGAGATACGAAGTATCTATTACTTTATTGGAAAACATAAAGAAAAAATTTTAATATTACTTTCACAAAAGTGTTACATGCACTAGTACAAAATAAATAAAAGACAACGTCATTTAACGACTGTAATATATGAGCCTTTGTTGAAAAAGATGCGATAACAATTTTGAAATTATTTTTATTTTTTTAACAACGATTTATTTATAATCGTTGTCATATGTGACATATGACGACAGTGATAAATAGAATTGTTGTCGTATGTGACATATGATAATAGTTTTAAATGAACCATAATATAATCATTTGTTTAACATTTTATGGATAATACTTTAACAATCGTCGTTATATCACAATATGACTACGATTATAGAAGAATTGTCATTATATGTCACATACGACGATAATTATAGGAGAATCATCATTGTATCTCACATATGACGACAAATATTTACAAAACTGTCGTCGTATGTCCCGTTAAAATTTTCAACTTCGCCCCATTCTATTCATTTCATCTTTACGTTTTCATTTCTTTTTTCTTCTTCTCTCCTTTTTTCTTTTCTCTTATCCTCCTCTTTTGCAACTCTTCTTTTCTTCCTTTGTTCATCGTGATTAAACTCTTTTCTTTTTCTTTTTCTTTTCCTTCTTTCATTCTTTCTCAAAGTGTTTCTCTCCAACGTAAATGTCTCCACCACATATGTTTCCAACACACTTAAAGTTGTCACAGGGGAGAACAACAATGATTCTTTTTTTCTTTTGAGACAGAGGTAAAGAACAATGTTTTTTTAAGGTGAAGGTAGAAAAAAATGTTTTACTAGATGCGTTGAAACTGAATTAGAAGAATAATAATAAGTAAGTGATGAAAACTTACATATTTATTGTGACCCCAACGTCTCCACCCCGTAGGAACTACGAGATCACCCCAAGGATGCCTTTGGCATGCAGGGTCCCAGACTGACCATAAAACACTGTTCAAAAAGTGGAACAAACACATTAGTTATCCGTTCTTAGATTGGACAATATGGGTTAGAGAAGGACAATCACTCATTCTTAAATATTCTTAAGAGCAAAGAGTCTTGGACAAAAAAAAGGTGGGA